TCTCTCTCTCTCTCTCGCTCGCTTGCGCAGCCTCGAAGCGTCAGCCGCGTTCAGGCCGAAAGAAGGCTCTAATATAGGGGCCATGACCCGATACTTATTACTTACTACGAACTGTTCCGACCGTCCTCGAGCCCTGCCGCTTGCAATCGTATGCACGAAGCCGGCCAGTACCACTTCTCAGGCTTTAGGGCTTGATGTAGGCCTCGGAACAAGTACTACTCGTATTCTACCCTCCTAAGACTTTGATAGAAATAGCATGAACCCCGTTCTACTTATTCAGGCCCCTGTGTCAGGATGGTTTTATATGCGAGAAATGGACTTAGAAGAATCTTCGAGATCCCTTAACCAAGGCTCGCGCTGAGGACTCGCCGTCAAGAACTGAAGGAATACATATCCCTCTTCAGGCTCCCGTAAGAAGAACTCCTGTCACACTGTCCCTTTATTATAAACCTAAACCCTATGCCCTAAGCAATGCAGGACCGTGGATGCGATGGACCCTTCTGCCAACTGACGAGTTTTGCCCTGGGCTTACGTAAACCATTCGACTCACGACCTATGGGTTTTTTGCCTCCTACTTAGCNNCTTAGCAAGGACGTGCCCGCATTGCATGCTATGCGACTATTTTTTTTGTGGTTTGGCGTAGGGTTATCGTCTGGCGTGAACTGGAACCGGATTTTGGCTCTTGTGAAAACGGACAAACTAACTTCATGTTGTTTCTATGTCTTAACTACCAATGCCCACCCTTTCCTTCCAACAAACAGCCTTCGCCCAGAATTTCCCCTTTTTAAAGCCCTCCAGTCCTGCCAAGACCCTTTTGCCGCGACTTCGGGCTCACTGCATGATGCCGCCAAGAATGGCTGCATTTCGCGACTTCAGAACGTTTGCTTTGACGTTCAGGTTCATCATTGACACGGTGCACATTTCGTTTGCAGCTGGATTATCACCATTTCTCAACCCAGATTCTAAAGCATCTAAAAGCCTTTACCCTGCAAGCGCTTTGGTGCAGAATGGAGCGTGGCAAGGGCTTCGACTGTTGTGGCTGCTGTAGATCGTTTGGCTTTACTTCTTCTAGGGTTTCAGAGAATCAACAGTACCGAGTTTGGGGAGATTGAGAGGTAGTGATGTTCCCAGTATGTAGTATCTGTGGTCTTTATTGGGGTCTCTTTCCCTGAACCTTCGACGTCAGTCAAACCTCGGAAGATTTGGATGTGACATTAAATATGGAGGTGCTTCTAAGCGTCTAGCTGCATAGCTACTCTATGGGCGCTTGCTTTGAAGCAAGACCCATGGCCTGTGAATGCAGTCGAAGCCTCTCTCAAAGGTTCTGCCATAATGGTACAACAGCCACGTGTGGGACTCTCCAGGAACCAGCCTCGAACGTGAAAGGGCGTCTTATGTACCCGAGATGGAACAATATCGATTTTGACTTTATCATCTATCTGCGTGGGATGTGGTCTGCCGAAGGACGTCTTGCTAGCGTCTCTCCTAGATGCCATCTCCACATCACCATTCAGCTGGATGCATCATTGACTCATGTGGTCAATCTGGCATGAAAGCATTCATTCTTTCCTTCATCCATGTGTTATTCACTTGTATGCTATTCATTATATGTGGCTCTATGTTTAGGGTTGCACCTGCGGATGTACAAGCCTACACAAATAAAGCTGGCATTTGTGGATGAATGGATTTGTGTTTGGTTGAGTGATTGTATGCACAGATACATTTACAACATGTGGGTGTGTGTGTGTGTGCGCGCCCATGCAGGCTAAAGGCTCCAGGTCTAGAGGCCACATGGCCTGGAGGCCCCCACTTGTCGTGGCGATTTTTGAGCCTTAAGAGGAGGCCGTGCTCTTCGAGGATGCGCACTCATCGCCGTGGTCCTTCGCCTCAGCCCAGGCGAAAGGGGGAAGTTACATGGTTGCGTGAGGCAGCGGTGCAGACATGTAGATACCAACCGACGTCGGAATCACAACGGCAGGGCTTAAGTTTTCTGAGACTTCCATTTCCTTCAGCAGCGGGATGAAAGGCGAACCTCAAAAGCTTGTCCAAGTCGCCGGACTAGTACCTTTTGGAAGTGGACTGCCAGGTGAATCCCATACCAACCTCTGGTGCATGGCTTCTCTGAGCTTGCGCAGTCTTGACGTGCCGTTCTACATCCAACAAGGCTCTGCTGAAGTCTCTCGGAAGAGCTGGTGCCATGGCTTCTGGCTTCCTTTTTGCTGGCCGGTAGCTCCTGGTCAAAGGCGTCCATGCTGAAGTGCTGTGCGAAGCGAATCGTGCGATCCTGATAATGCGTCTCGCGGAAAAGGAGAGTCAGGTGGCCTCGGCTGTTAATCGGCGAACCCTGGGTCTTTATAATAGGCTTCTTAAAATGGGGTTAGAGGGCCAGGGTTTGTTAATCAGGTTCCTACATTACTTTCCTTCAGTTCGCATCTGTCACTCTGCCGGCAGGAGCTGTAGTCGGCCTTCGAACTACGGATCCTTTGCAACAGCCAAGCCATGGTTCACAAGTGGCACAAAGCTGGCGTTGCTGCCCCATGTCTTCTTGGAGCTCCAGGGTTGACATGGCGAGGTTTATACATCCCTGGATGAAGACTCGAATTGGCAGATCTTGCATCTGAGGGGCCAAGCTCCAGCTGCATCTGATCCTGGGAAGGCGGGAAGGGTCCAGGTGCCAACTCTCGTCAAATGCAAGGCGCTCTCGATGCTGGCGATACTGATTGCGATGATGATCTTGATGATGGTAGTGATGATCGCCAACGTAGTGAGCATGGTCGAAGTCGGCGTCATCATCGTCACGTCACCAGCATCATCAGCTACCTCCACGACACCGCTCCACTGACCAGCACCATCGCAGCCATTGCAAACTGCAGCAGCAGATGCAGCAGCAGCAGCAGCAGCAGCAGCAGTGTCAGCGTCATTTCCACCGGCACCAGCACCACTAGCATCCTTACCATCGCCAGATCTATCTATCTATCTATCTATGTGTGTGTGTGTGGGTATATATACATATATATAGGGTTAGATATATACAGGCTTATATGATGTTTCATGACCATAGCACTATGAATCAGCAGGTTTCGTCGCTTGACCGAAGCAGAGCTTACGAAGAGCGCAGGTTAAACGATGTTCCCAGCCGTCCGGGGACCACATCAGCAAGGGTCTGAATGTCGCAACGTGGGCGAGCAAAACACGGAAAAGATAACGTCGTTCAGCGTACCCACAATCCTCGTCTGTTGGAGGCTCTATGCTTCTGCCGCGGAGGTGTGACAATCACAGGCGGTTGCTGTTAGTGACTTTTAGTTGCATCCGTGCTCGTGACTCACGCGGCGCTGTCTGAAAACGCTGAATCCTGAGGTCCTACCGCTGCCTAGCACGTGGAAGCAGAAACTCGGGATCCAAGGTTATCTGAGGTTTCGGATCACGGCTATCCTTTTGCTGCACGGCAGCAAAAAAAGCGGCACAAAATATGGCCCCTAGAAAGCCTTCCTAAACTCCTAGATGCCCCTGATGCCTCCACGAACTCAAAGAAGCCCTCCCGGAAGTCGAACTGTAGCGTCTTCTGCCACCGGGCTTCCTGGCCCGCATCAAGGATTGAAGACTGGGTTCTTGTCTAAGGGGATCCGTATTATGGTAACTTAAATTAAACCCCTTCCTGGCCAGGTGTTGATAAAGAGGGGCTCCAGGGGAGCGCCCTCTCATGTAGTGCTCCCGGACGCAATGCCGGCATCTGAGGCAACTCAGGCTCTTGCTAGGGAGCTGACTTTTTGTTGACATATTATGGAAAACGCACTGACGCGCGCGCACACACACACACACATCGTTTTTACTCTGCAGCCCTGTTTTGGTAGCCGATACATACAGTGAGTTCCTTGACAAGCCCACGGAAGGCCTTCTGGTCGGTTTTGCTGGAATCGAACCCTCCACCCATCCTTCGGTCCTTGAGGCCTCGCATCGCCGGCCGGGTTAAGGCGATGTGGCATCCATTGGGCAGTAGCTTCACCTTCGGTCTGAAGTAACTACAACATGTACTTGGGCTTGCAGTTGGAAACAATTTGGTGTTTGCCTCGGTTCGGCCTTGATGGATCACCCTTTTGCCCAGCTCATCCTCACACATCTTTTGCTTACGCCTCCCCGGTTCTTATCACGAAGCAGCGGCGATCTTCATTCTATGGTTTATGACAAGCTCTTCCTGGAATCCCCGAACTGGACCGAATAACCGTCAATCAACCTCAACCTATATAAGACAAGCTTGATGGTAATATGGAGGGACGCCGATGGAACTTCTAAACCTGTGGACTCCTGCAGGCTCAGGCTCATCTCGGAACGGGGCGGCTCTGAAAGCCCTATCAACCCTAAAACCCCAAAGCCGAAACCGTAATGCCCCAGCACCTCAATGTCCTGATGACGCACCCCGGGACAACAAATGCGCACCAACCGGCCAGGCACACCATTCACCTCAAGGATTCATGAACGTGTTGCGTTGCTGTCGTTATAATCATCATGACTGGCTTCATGGCTCAGTGGTTATTGTTTACATCATGCTTTTTACCAGTGTTGTCAAGCTACGTGCTAATCATACGGCAATTGAATGCCTCATTATTGCTGATTGCGACTATTCATGCTATTACTGTTGTTGGTAGTGGTGGTGGTAGTAGTTCGTAGTAGTGGGAGAGAAGTAGTAGCAGTAGTGGTAGTGGTAGTGGTAGTGGTAGTAGGAGTAGTCGTAGTAGTAGTAGTAGTAGTAGTAGTCGTCGTCGTCGTCGTCATAGTCGCAGGGCAGGCAGGTACGTAAGTAGGTAGCGTCACAGCAGTAGCATGATTGAACAGGTTGGGAAGGTAATGCGAATAGGCATTCTTTCATTTCTTTTTCCAGTCGCTGTTCAGTAATTCAGCCTTTGAGTTCGGCAAATATGGTGTGCAACTGCTTTGGCCGGTTGTCGCAGAAGGCTTCGCACGTGTACCGGGACCATGAAACATTGGTCATGAAGGATCCGACTGCTACTGTAGCTTGCTCCGAAACCTTCACCTGTTTTGTGAAGCAATCTGACGCACAATCCGCCTGAATCTGTCAAAGCTTCACCTACTGACTGTCGTCCTATTCACAAGTCGGTGGTAAGATGAGCTGTAGGCCTGCAATACTGTTATCCGCTCGGATCCCTTCATATCCCTTCAAACACGTCTCAGGGGAGATCGCAAAGATTTCCCCCAAACTGACTTGTGATGCAATCTGTACATTGCAAGGATCCCAATGTCTCCGGAGGGTTTTCAGACTCTCCCGAGCCTGAACGTGGACCATCTGGTGGTGGAACTCCGGGTTGTTCCAGCCGCGCCTCGGTAGGTATCAAATGTGAGTCTCACACTCGGACTCTCCAGGCGAGGAGTGGGCACGAACAAGCCCTTAATCGTGACCCGGCTACACCCGTTGCCCTAGGGGCAGGTGTTGGAGACGATGTTTAGGTTGACGCAGGTGTCGTGGAAAATTGTGGCAGGTAAGACCAGTAGCAACCGCACAACAGGTAGAACTTGCATAGCATATGACAGCTGAAAGTACCATAATCTTCCACCTAGTATGTAAACATGCCAACAGCAGCGGCAGCTTCCTTGCTCCGTGATCGGACGTTCACAGTAGGCAACGAAACCGCACTACATAGTCTGCAAAAAAAATCAGTAGTCGTAGCCGTAGCTGTGGCAATACACAGCAAATGAAGTAACTGAATGCATCAGTCCCAGCACTCTTCGGTATCTACAGCAACAGGCCAGAGCAAGGACAACAAATCATGGCACCATTCTTGGCCCTTTCTAATGGTGCCGATAAGCAGGACGAATAATCCTAGTAGATCTGAAGCCTACATGCTGCAACTGAAATGTTTCGAAACTCGTCCGCAAAGCCTGTGAATGTAAGCGCGTCGCCTTGCGGCCACTGTGACAAGCAGCAGAGTCACCATCACCTTGGACAGGTTTGGTTTACCCGAACCTTTCCCTGCCTCTGACTGACTTCTCACGCCCTCCGGGCTATGCATCCGGGGGCTCTTGTGTTTTTCTGATGCTACATCAACGAGTAAAGGGTCGAAGCATTTTCCGGGCCAAGCGATTAACAGACTGCGTGCAAGATTCTAGTGCTTTTAGACCTCATTCTAACATATGTGGGAGGGGCTTTTGGGCGAAAGCAAGGAGAATCTGCGGTCCTACGAAGGCCAAAGTCCATGCGGCTTTCCCAACCTGACACTTTGGGCAACAACTTCACGGGGAAGCTCGACTGTAGGAATGTGATACAGGCCGAGATATTTTAATATGTAAAGTCTCTATCGTCGCAGCAAGCTCGCAGAATGGAAGGCACAAATAGTGAGCCATTTACAGTCATCGGGCCTTTCCTGCTGAGCTGCGTGTTGCTTAGACCTAGTGGGTACCGGACCAACGAGGCAACCCCAAACCTGCAGCCCGCTCAAGGCTGTAAACCATATATATATATATATCTCTCTCTCTCTCTCTCTCTCTCTCTCTCTCTCTCTCTCTCTGTGTGTGTGTATGTAGGTATAGGTATAATGAACCCTTTTTTGCCCTAAGGCCCCAAACCCCTAAAAAGACCCTAGAGCCCGAGGGAAGGCCCTAATGCCCACGGGCCCGAAAATCGGGCCTCGGAGAAATCCTATCAGGGTTGACGTACATACAGCTATGCATACATAGGGTCGAACAAACGTTCGAGAAGGGGTGGGCTCAGCAAAGCTTCTTGCAAGGGTTCGAGGATGGCTTAAGAAAGGCTCTTACGAAGGGGTATCGGTACGCAGGTTTTTTTATTTTAGTGCATGTTCTTGCACCAAGATGCGATGCACAGAGCGAGGATGCCCAGGTCAGGTTGCTTCCTCGATTCGGAATTCCAGAGGCGCCCCAGGCGTCTGAAGTTCCAAGGCCCAAAGCCCATAATGCTGAAACCTAGAACCCCTAGCACCCAAAAAACCGCGACACCTGAAACTGTTGATTTCCGCTGAGACTTTTGGATTCTGTGGGGCACAGGCGCCTGCCGTGTGCGAGCCCTGAGTCGAAACCTTAATCTGAAGCTCCAAACAGCCCAAGTAGGTACTACTGTTGAGGAAAATATGGGAATTATGGTACATTCCTTGTTATGGGTAATGCAGGATTATATCATCAACCGTATTTTTAGACGTTAGAACCCAAAGTAGCTAGCATTTCTAGAAGTCTTAGGTCTACCCTACACGTCGACGCCTCCTGCGTTGGCCGCTGTGTAAATGTAGCCGAACCGGGAAAACTTGGCTTAGAAAGAAGTTGAAGGAACACTGTTTTTTCCAATCGTTACCGTTGTCTCCGGATTGCAAGTTTTGTCTGAAGCTTTGAAGGCATCAAGTGCATGCCTGAAGCAAGCTTCATGTCGCTCGTATGTTTCCAAGGCAAGGCTATGTAGATTTCATGTGCTTCCATGTATGGTGACCTGATCTGACAAATGGCAGAATTGCATGTTTGCAGGAGGTTGCCACGAACGGCAGAAGCCAGCAATCATCAAGGGCCATGATCGGCAGAATCCTTTTGACATTAGTGAGGCTGCAAGAGCTTACTACTGTGTTGAAGAGAGAAAACTGAATTGAGCGCCTGCTACGCCTGGTCAGCCTCGTCTCGAACTGTAGTAACCCTGCTTATATATAGTAACCACTTACTCTTAACCCTAAGCCCCTAAACCCCCAAACCCCTAAACCGTCGCGACGACCGTAAACCCCTAAACCTTAAACCCCTAAACCCAATTACAGTTATTCCCCAAAGTAGCCCTCCTAGACATTGAAACCCTCGTCTCCGCTTGCTGCGGGAGAGCTTCCGGGCCTCTCTCGCCCTTTCTTCCGCTTCCTGAAGCCTCCGAAGGCGACACCGACACCCAAAACCAGTTTTTTTTTTTT